TACTTTGAAACTTTGGGGAAATTTGAGCTGGCTATTGAATGCTATGAAAAGGCATATGATATCTATCAAATTTATGGACCATCGATCTTTGCTAAGTAATGCAAGTTAAAGGTAGCTTTACTAGTTGCTTCAATTGAAAAGTACGCACTTTCACTTCTTATATATATATATATATCAGCAAACATCCAATATATGTTGAACAAAGAATTGAAGCAATTGATACACCTATTAATGTTTTCTTTCTTGTAATTTGCTATGTTAAGTGGAAAAATTTTGCTACTGTATACACACGTAGAAATAGGAAATAGGTCTTTTGCTTGGTTTATTTGTAGTATCCTTGCTCTAAGTCAAAATACTACCCTCGCTTTAGGTCAAAAAGATTCATTGAGTTATTAGGTCAAGTGCTTGAAACCACAACTGATTGTCCTAATTCCCAAAGATTCCCCAATCTACTACGTTCTAGCTAGGAATCATAGAATAGTGAGGTTTTGTGTCCATCCCCTACCTCAATCGACATATGCTTTTTTATCATGGGCCATAAATGCAATAACTTTTTCCATGACCAAGCACAACCAGCAAGTATTCTAGCAGTCTAGATATTCTCTCCCTTCAATCTTTCTTCTACCCACCTTGACCATAAGGAATCTCTTCTCTGCAAGCTTGCCAAAGATGCTTGGCCATAACTGCTCTATTCCAAGCCTTCACTTGTTTGAATCCCAAACCACTTTTTGTTATACGAAGGCAAACATCCTTTTAGGAGACCGTAGCCAAACCATGCTTATTCCAACTACCAGGCCAGAGAAAATTTCTACACAACTGGTTAAAAGTTTGAATAACTTTAGCAGGCAGTATAAATATTGAACTCCAATACACTTGCATTGGGAAAACAACAGCCTTAAGTGGTTGCATATAACCGGCAAAGGATAGAAACTTTGTACCCCAACCATCCATTCTCTTTTTAATCTTCTCTAGCATAGGAAAGCAATATGCCTTTATCAATTTGATAGAGATCATTGGGCCCCCCATATATCTTACTAGTAGTGAGCCTTAATGGAACCCCAATGTACCAATAATCCTTTGCTTGATATAGATTTGGTTTTTGCACTATTTTTTTCCAATCTTGGCATGCTACAAAACTTTTCAAACACCTTTTTCAGCTTTATACAAGAATATTCCTCTACCTTACAAAACAGCATAAGGTCATAAATGGAAAAAAGAGTAGCTTTTACTTCCTCTACAGAAACCTGACCTTGCTCCCTTGTTATGAGGTTCAAAAATTGGAAATAACTGTTATATAAACTTATAAGATTAGCAGCTACTTTTCCAAGCATTGCTTAAAAAAATTGCAAAAGTTCCTTTTTTATGTCCCCTTCTTCAAGTGGTGAAGTACCCTGCTGTTACAAATAGACTTCACAGTTGTGTGCACTCTTTTAGCCTTGGTACTCGCATGGAAAAAAGCACTATCTTGGTCTCCCTATTGAAGCCATTGAATTTTAGCTTTTGTCTCAACAAGGACATCTCAACTGCTAATGGTTCACCGTACTCCTGTCTTAACATTTTAAGTTGCCCTAGTTGTTCTGAGTAAAAAAAAAGTAAGATTCGTGAAGCTTTCTAGTTTGGCCTTTAACTCCAAAATTTTGTCCTTTAGACCAGTGAATTTAGATCTATGCAAATCCTTTTACCTTTTTTTCAATAATTTAAGTCTTTGCACCACTCTAAACATTTTACATCTAACAATAGGAAATCTCCATACCTCTTCAACAATCCCTTTAAATTTTGGATGCTTAGACCACGACCTACAAAATTTGAAGGGAAATCCTTATGGCTTAGCATTATACCCAAAACTGATAGTACATGGCACATGGTCAGAAATAACCTCATTTGTAAAAATTGCATGTGCATTAAGGAAAACTTCAACCCAATTCAAGTTAGAGATGCTTGCACTATACCTTGTCATCCCCATCTTGATTATTAGTCGATGTGTAAAACTCAGCATTAAAACTAATTGAGTTTTTAATCCTTTTTAATCCTTTAATTATAAAAAATATAATTTTTTAATCATTTCGTCAGTTAATTCGTTAAATTTATTTAAATCTACATATTTTCAATCCCTCAACTTCTAATATATGCATATTTTTCATCCCTCAACTTAAAAATGTGTATATTTAGACAACTTAATAGATTAATTGACAGAAGAACTAAAAAAATACATTTTCAATAGTCAAATGACCAAAAAAGTGCATAAAAAAGATAAAAGATGAAAATTGTGCAGACCTTAAAGTTAGGGGACTAAAATTAGCATTTAACTTATTTATAATGATCAAAAAAAATTTTCTATTATAATAATTAAAACTTATTATTTTATTTTACCTTTATTTATAATTAAACAAAAAAAAAAAAAAACTTAATGCATTTCTATCACCTTGAAGAAAATAGTAAAATTAAAGGCCAAAACCTCTACTTATCCCCTATACGTTTTTCTTTTCATAATCAACACCTTAAATTAATTTTCCTCCTGATCAATATCTTCTATAATAAATAATCCGCCAAAAAAACAAAAGTGTAACAATGGGTCACGTGCATGTCACATGCAAGTTAATTTATGTTAGCTTCGTATTGCGTGGCAAAGCAAGGCAACTGAAAATTATGAGAATGGGACTCCATTATGTAATTTAATTGTATACATAAGTGGATAAAAAATAATTTAATTATTTAAAATAAAATAAAAATAATTTTTTAGTCATCATGTTAAAACAAATGATAAAGATGCACATAAAATTATTTAAATATTCTTATTGAATACTCTTATACATTATTATGTATTTTTTCTTATCCAAAAATAAAATTAATATTAGAAAATTTTTATGTAAATATTAATATATAGGTATTATTTTTGTTTACTTTTTAGAAAAAATGAAGAAGGAGAACTCATGAACGGGAATAATTAATATATAAAAATTCACATATAGATATCATTTTTTTAACTACTTTTGGATTTCTATAATTATCCATTTGTCTAAATGGATGAATAATAAAAGTGTTTTAATTCAACAGAGGTTAAATGCTACTTTTGGTCCCTCAACTTTGTAGTGTTGCATAATTTTTGTCCATCAACTACTTTTTACATTTTTTTGATCCCTCACCTTTAAAAACTATACAATTTTAATCATTTTGTCAATTAGCACAGTTAATTCGATCCACATGACATTTTTATTATTTTTTTAATGACATTGTCAATGACAAATCATATAATTAACTTAGGTGGACAATATCAAATTGTCAAGTCAGATTTAATTATCATTTTTAATTCTTTTCAATTTCTTAAATATAAAATTATTAAAATGCCCTTAATTTATAATTCTTGCCATCATTCTTCTCAACTCTCTCTTCACTATCACCACTGTTTCCAACCTTCCTCACTCTTCATCACCGTTTCTCTTTGCCCTTCCCCCTCATCCTCTAGCAGAGATGGTTTGGGTTCACAAGGAAACCCAAATAATCTAGGTTTGTGAGGAACCCAGATGATCTAGGTTCGTGAGGAACCCAGATGATCTGGGTTCGCGAGGAACCTAGAAAATGTGGATTCGTTGCAAACCCAAAAGATGTGGGCTCGTAATGAACCCCGATCTTGGTTC